CCGCTGTGAGGTGGACCTGGAAGAATCAGAGAAAGATCCGGCAGAGGCAGAGGAGGCCGAAGTTCCGGAATGGGAAGGCAAGGAAGAAAGCCAGCAGCCGTACGTTGAATGCGAGGAGGATGCACCGACGGATGACAGGAAAAGGGTTGATCCTGGCACCTTTTCTGTCAGCTCCTTTCACTCCACTTTGAATGTCATGACTCCTGATGGCAAGCTTCTAATGCCCGTCAGTGACCGTGGCTTTCAGCACTTGCTCGCATGCGCTCGATCCACAACAGGACTGAAGGATGGCAGGTATCTTTTCGAAGTGCGAATCGTGGAGCTGCGTCGGTCAGTCGAAAATGGAAAGCAGCGTGTCCCAAGGCAGTTCTGCGGAGTTGGCTTTTGTACAGAGGGGTCGTCCCTCTTTCTGGGAGACGATGAGCGGAGCATGGGTTTCGATTCGGAAGGTTGCTTATGCAAGGATGGCCGAAAGAGTTGGATGGATGGTTTGAACGATCGCATCCGGCTGGAGAGGCAGCTCGTCATTGGAGTTCTCTTGAACCTAGACGCACAGAGTCCGAATGCCAACACACTTAGCCTCTTCGTCAACGGCGAACGTTTGGGAAGACCGCAGAGCCTGCCCGAGACTCTCAAGGGCAAAACGCTGTTCCCCCTCGTCAACTTCAAGAATGCCGCCTGGCTGACTCAAAGGCAGCTGCTAATCGAAAGGAATAATTAGTTGTTCAGAGGCCACATAGGCTCTACGATCACCATTCTACCGGAGGTGGCGAATTGAGCTTTTCAGACGAATGTGTCTTGTATCATGTTGCGCTGTAGCTGAATTCCGAGGTGACGCTTCATGCCAACTTCTCCGGGCACATGCCGTTTGCACCTTTGCCGTTCGCTTGTCGGACGCTGCAAGATGCAGCCCAGGAGGATGTTGAATCTCACGATGTGAAGGAGAGCCAGTGCCAGGCATGTCGACCATCACAAGTCTTAGCCAAACACAGGTAGAGCCTGCAGCCCTTAACCAGTCCTTCCTGTCATCCTTGTCGCAAGTTCAGCAGATGCTGCAGGTTCTCATTCCGATTGGCCTGCCCGATGAGGGGACCTTTGCCTGGCTCGATAGTTTCAAAGAAAAGGCTCAGTTTACAGAGCTTTCTGGCCGAAGTGTCAAGGAGTGGGCCATGAAGAGCGGCTTGTGGTCCCAGGGTCATGGTCGCAATTTCAACGACCAACCCTCAATGGACTTCGGCTTGAAGGAGCTGGACGGTGGCACGACCAGACAGGTTTTTCATGCCATTGCCCCACGTCTGCATCGCAACTACATTGTCATGGAGGTGCAGAGGAACCTGTTGGCAGAGGATCGTCGAAAGGCACTCGCTGCCTTCAATGCTCCGCATTTCAAGCGGGTTGCCATGGTGGTCATGGGTGAGCCACCGGAGGACTTCAAGGTAGAGGTTCGCGAGAATCTTCTGCAAGCTCGCAGAGATAAGGTCGCTGCCGACGTAAGAAAAGCCAAGCGGCCTTCAAAATGGGACAATGGGTCGCAGGCTGTGAGTGCGGCAGAGCTGGAAGCGGAAGTGAAGGCCAAGGTTGACGAAGTGAAGCTGACAGACTCTGAAATGCAGTCTTGGTTCCAGAAGAAGAATGACGGTGACATTCCCGAGAAAGAGCTGGCGAAGGTTTTTAGTGACTTCAGCTTGCCATCTGCAGATGAGGGTTTCCAGGAGATCCAGTTCACGTGGCAAGGTGAGAAGGAGTGCTTAGAGCACATGCAAAAGTGGATTGCCGAAAGAAAGTTGACTCAGAGGGTGGAGGATCTGAAGCCCACTGAATGGTTCAAGAAACAGACCGAGCTGTGGCAACAGGCCATGATGAGGTGGAAGCGCAAGTTTGAAGACTGGCAAGATCCACTCAAAAGGAGGCGGGGTGGTGGAGCAAAGTCCTGTTCGAGCGCAGTGCCTGGTAGTAACAAAATTCGGTTAACTGCATTTCGCAGTCAGGCGCCTCGAAGATGATGCGCGGCGCCGGCGGGATGAGCAGCCTCAGGAAAAGGAGAAGCCCTTGCCAGTTGGCCGACTGGATGAGAAAGTTGTGGACTTGGATGCTCGATAGCAACTGGCACAAGAGTAGGAAGACATCTAAGACCATGACCATTCATGAGAGACATATCCATCGCTTGCATCAGGATGAGGACGAGCCCCCCAAGCCACAGAAGCCGCCGGACAGTTGCGACGATTTGGATCCTTGGAAGCTGGAGGACCTGTTGGACATCGGCACGGGGGAACCCTTGTTCTCAAAGTTCACTTGGGAAGATTGGATGATGTTGGAACTGCGGTTTCAACTGCATGTTCTTGTCCACGGGTACAAGCACTGCATGAACGATCCCGGACGGGTTGGCGCCTCATTGCCGCAAAGTGTCAAGCTGTCACACATTTTGCTTTGTTAGGGTTTGAAGATTCCGAGTTGCATCAGGTCTCATTCCACGAGAGCCACACGCAGTTCTATTTTGAAACGTTCTGGGGGAAAGAGCTTTCTCTCAGAAGCTACGGAGTTGAGTCGATTGCGGAACTCCTCCGAATGGTTAGAGACACCATTGAGGTGTTGCCAAACAATTCCGTCCTAGATCCGCAGCTGTCGGACGACACGCCACTGGAAAACTTCGTCAGGCTGACGGAAGACTACCGACGCGACCGGCTTCGCAAGCTCGATGCTGGAGATCAGACAGCAGCCTTGCGTTTGCAGAAGCCACAGCCACATGCCCCACGTCAGTTTCAAGCTGACGATCGCCGACAAGGCGGAAGGGGCTTCGAACGTCAGGCCCCGCAACGAGGCCATGCACCACGAGCTGGTGCGCCTCCAGCTCGCGGTGACCTCAGGTGGGCTGCAGGCGGTGGCGGAGGCGGTGGCGGTGGCGGTGGAAGCAAACAAGACCACAGGTCCACCCGAGGTGGGGAGAGCCGCAAAGATGTCCCCCGCGGCAACCGGCCCCCACCTGCTCCTCCCGTTCCCCGGTCTCATGCCAGGGATGCTGGTGGAGCCGGCCAGAAACGTGTGTACGGTCAGGGGCCTGGGCGAGACGATCGTGACCGACACCGTGCATCACGGAGCCGCCATGAACGCGATGGCCGGGACGGTAGACACCAGTATGCCCCGCATAAATCACAAAGAACCCAAAGTGCTGGTCCCAACTCGCGCGGTCCTGGCGGAGGATACGCTTCCTATGGTGGAGGGGGCTACAGAGGTCGTCCCGGCTCCAGAGGCTGATGAGATCATTTGTATCACCGCGTGCGGTTCAACCGTGCTTGCAACAATAAAGTCAGACAGCTCATGCCCGGCCCTTGTGAGAGCAGGCGAGCCGGAAGAAAGACTTGTGCTTGCAATTAAAGGCAGCATGGAGTGGGTGTACGGACTCGGCGCATGCGCACGCAAGCGCGTGCACTTCTATTCTTGATCAGCGATGATCTTCTGAAAAAGGGCCGTCGTGCACATACCACAGTTGTTGAAAGCTATCCCTTCCAGCGCAGTATTCATTGTTAGAAGGCCTGCCATGCATTTTCACACCAGTTCTTCCAGCTTCGATTTGAGGTGCCCGTGCAAGGTCAGCCACAGCTTCGTGGTCTTCGCGTGATCCGCCTCAACCACTGAGTGTAGCCACCAGCACAGGTGCTTCCGAAAACGACTGTGGGATTGTATGTTTGCTTGCCCTAGCGAGGTCAGAATGCAACACAAGGGGCCGAAAGCAAAGGCCGGAAACACCGAACTAAGTGGAGCTTCCTGATCCAACATGTTGATTCCCCAGCGATTGCAGGTTTCTGTCTTTCTTTCAGTTTCTCACATTGACATGTAGAAGGAGTTTTCGAGTGAACAAACGAGCATTTGATAGATAAGAAGCAGAAAGAAAATGAACATGTACAGAGCAGTAAGCGGTAAGTTGTTAAAGAAGTACACATAACTTCACAGAGGAAATTAAGGGCTATGAAGGTTCCAGCATGGCTGTGTGCCCTTCCAGCTCTTGTAACTTGAGGTTTTGCAACGCACCGCCTGTACCGCAGCGTCTGCGAGTGTCTGATTGCAGATTCTTCCACCAAGTATCATCTGTTTGAACTGGTGCCCAGCAAGATTGTAGGCATGGTAGACATGAGCGAACTGCTGTCGAACCATTTGGTGGAGCATCAGTATCTCGCTCTTTCTGCCTGTTTTGCTGCCTTGCTGCTGCTGCCGCTGTTGATGCGAGGCAGCTGCCAAGACGGTCGCGAAATGGGATCAGGCAAGGCGAGCGGTCATTTAAGCTCGGCAGTGTTGCTCTTGGGGAAAGCACTGCAGCTCCGAAGTGACATGCTTCCTCTTTGGAGATTCTTCGGCGATGCTTGGCCTTTTCTTGTTTACTGCTTCGCCCTATTGCAGGCATGTATCACAAGCTTGTTAAGATTTTGAGACGGGCGAATAGAGCTGAGCTACTACTCGTCTTGATTCCGCCGCCAGCCTAGACCCCCGCGTGTTGCGTACTGTGCATCATCTTCTTCATGGTGCTGCTGGCTGCAGGCGTGGGATCGCAGCAGGATTTGGAGTGTGAGCCTGGTGCCCAGAAGTGGGCCTTGACTCTTCAGAAACGCACAGTCGCGTTGCTGACCGAGGTGGGAGCAAAAGCTTCAAGAAGGCATTGCTTGGTCATTGGTCGCAGGCTTACCAGAATGGACCAGGCAGGCAAGACAGTGCGGAAATCTGCATGCACTCAAGACGAAAGTTCATGCATTTGTAAAAATGCCGTTGCCGTGGGCTCAGTCGTAGATCGCCTGACGGGGCCTCGATCTATATGCAAGGCTGTCGTTGAGTAGTTGAGAGGAGTGTGGCGCAGGTCGCTGATTCAGGTTCATTTACACCCGACTGTTGCCAGCAAAAGGGCTGCGAGCCCTCTCACTAGCCCATGCATAGTCGAAGTCGTGTCCCAGTTTCAAGAAAGGTTGCCATGTCCATGAAACACAAGATGCCAAGTCAGTTGCCAGGCTCCTGTCATGGATGATGATGACCAGAATGAAGACAGTCTTGGGAGCTATGTCTCAGAGGCAGAGCAGGCCTGCTGGTTGGCCGGTGTTGCGCAGATTCCAGTACTCGCTGCATCTCGCTGCTAGGGCGCCTCAAGAAAGCACATAGGCCCAGATTCGAACTGTGCTAAGGCCTCTGAGACTCTGAGCATGATGCGTCAAAATCATTACGTATCCAATTTATGCATGCCTTGCGTGTTTCGAAGCCGAGCCATTCAGCAATTGAGACTTGTGCGGGGGACAGAAGCCGACCACCTCCCCCCCTTACCGAGCGGATCCGAGCAAGCAAACCAAGTGGCTTCGAGGTCACTAGCAGTACATGAAGGGGAGCCGACTGCATAAGTGGGAATCTTATGGCGCCCTACGAGACTCATGGACTCGAGATGACTCCAGGATGTAATATGATGTAATTACCCGCAAAACTTGCCACAAGCACAGGGGAAAACTTGCGACGAGAACAGGGGATGGCCAACGGTCGAAGTCGACCGGACGGCGCACAGAAGCCATCCTCGACGCCGACAAAGCAGCTAAGCAGTCCGAGCGGAGGTGGAGTGGGGACGCGGCGGACACAGTAGCTTAAACCGCAGAAAGGCCAAGGCGATACAAGAGGAAAGGGAACAAGCAGAACAACCCAACACTGCCGGTCACCGCTCCATGGCCGATGGCCGTGTGTGTTGGCCGTGCAGAACCACGGCCGGGACGATGTAGAGAAGGTGTTGACAGGAGAGGTCTTGGTCAAGGAGCGCCAAAACAGGAAGCCGAGAGAGTCCGGCAGCAGACCAGCCAAACTCAGAACTGCAACTGAGAATTGAGAGGGAACTTCAAGATATGCCAGGCTGCAGTCGTGACGTTCAAGTCAAGCATGTTTCTCTGTGGCGGAGCTGCTGGATGTCGCTGGCAAGTGTGGTAAATGTAGCTAGACGATATGAAGTTGCATGGCTCCGTTCCGTTTGTTGGGTCGAACGGCCGTTTACTTGGAGGCTGAACGCGCAGAGGAAGTTGCAAATTTCGAGGATGAGGCGTGTCCCGTGCGCCTGCCCAGCATGTCAGTTTCCACAAGCATCAGCAAGCATCAGACGTGTGCAGGACCAATGGGACGCCGATGTGCGTATGGAGCGAACCGAGGGAATAGACTTGGAAGACTCGCCCAGGGCTGTCGTCGAAGAAGATGTGACTGGGCTTCAGCATGTGGCCGGGCTTGTTTCGGTTTGGAGCCATGCTGCTGCATGCATTGCGTGAGAGCAATAGGGCTATATAGGGCTTCTGTGCAAAATCGTGCCCCTCAGCCGTCTGCTTGCAGCATTTGGGGATGCGCGTGGTTGCTTCGCTCGTTTTGCAGACATGGGGAAAACATGCTATACTGCGCTTGCAGGTTCTAGCTTTCATGAGCTCTGCACCGGATGCATTCGGATTGCTGCAGGTTTTCGGGGATGGCTACTACGAAGACGAAATAACTGATCCGACGTGTCTGGAGGTGGGGGGTGCTTCGGTAGATCCTTGTTTCAGATGTGCGAGCTGCCTTGACAAGTTCCCTACTTTGCCCAGGTGATCACAGACACCTTTGAAGAGCTGCGATTGCCACCAGAACAAATTGCCAAAGTGCAGGCTTCGCGGTGCTGGCAAGAACAACTGCAACAGACTATTGCATCAGTACGGGCCAATCGCAAGACTCAAGACCCATCGCCCATACGGTAGCCTCCATACGTCCGACCTAGTGCAGGGTGGATTCGCCCAGCTGGTGCAGAATGCGGGCTCGCCGGAAGCAGCAGGCGAAGCTGTCTACTCCACGCTCTTCGAGGCAGAGCTGTTCTCCTCATTCGGACCGACCCAGGGCGCGGTGTGTTGAGGCCGCTCCGAGCCTGCAGTCGCTGTGGACAACACCCAGGGCTGTCTCGACCTCACATGGGGCGTCAGTGCCTGTTTTTCATTGCCGAACGAGTTCCGTGCTTCATGTTTCCTCAGGTTCAAGGGATGAAGTTCGCCAACAGCCTTGCTCTCCTCATCTCGAAACTGTCGTACCCGGAGGAGTTCAAGAACCTGGTGGACACTCTGGGCTTCCAGCATTTGACAACAGAGGTCACGGTCCCACGTATTGAGGTCTTCCGAGATGCCCTTTTAGAGTTATTTGCTGCCGACCTGGGCGACCTTTTCACAATGGATGTTCGGATCGCGCTGTGCAGAATGTTCAACTACATCGGTGGGGCCTTCATCTATATCCGCAACAACTACTCGTCCCGCTTGAAGCTGATCTCGCAGTGTTGGACTTTGGCCAACAGCCAAAGGAATGAAATGGACGAAGAACCAGAAGAGACCCAAGAGTCCTCCGAGCACAATCTGGAGAACAAGGAGGAGGAAGATGGAAAGAAAGGCCCTGTGTCATGTGTTTCGGGCTGTCGCAGCTAAGCCCGTCAAGGCCATGTGTTCCTGAAATTGCATTTGCTTGCCGTCATATGTTGCTCAAGCACGGTGTTAGTTGTAATGCTACTGTCTCAGCTCATGAGCGGCTGTACACACAGTGGCCTGTGACCTTGTGTCACCCGAATTCAAGCCTCGTGCAGCGACTGTGGCTTCGCGCATTGTTGTTGCAGATGGGAGTGTGCGTGGCGAAGCAAGCCACCACCAAAGATGGCCAGAGTCCACAGGGCAACGAGTCAAATGTGGCAAGAAAGACTTCCACCGACAACTTGACGATTTCGTTGGACAGGGCCAAAGCTATGTCCTTCAATGCCGCAAGCACTCATGCACGCTACCACAGCGCTGGTTCAGGTGGCCGCCAGCTTGAGGATGACTACGAGATCTTTCCAAAGCGGGTGCTCGGTGAGGGCTGCAGTGGACTAGTCATCATGGCAAAAGGCCGTAATGATGGGCGCAAGTATGCGCTGAAGCGGATTCACAAGTTGAAAGTTCAACCGAAGGTGCTGAAGCAATTGACTGCCGAAGTGGAAATCTATCTCATGCTCGATCATCCGCACATTGCGGCACTCAGGGACGTGTATGAGACGGAAGCTGAGATCGCACTTCTGACTGAATGCTGCGAAGGGGGCGAGCTCTACTCTCGGCTGTCGAACTCCGGCACCTATGCAGAATCCGATGCAGCAGGGGCCACGCATCAAATGCTGCTTGCTGTGGGCTACCTCCATGCGCATCATGTAGTGCACAGAGACCTGAAGCTCGAAAACTTCCTTTACGAAACTCAAGAAGCGAACTCAGCACTCAAGCTGATCGACTTCGGCTTTGCCAAGATCTGGGACCCTTCAACCTTGATGTTGGCATCCTGTGGTAGCATTGCGTATGTCAGCCCGGATGTCTTGAAAGGAGAAGGCTACACGAGCAAGTGTGACTTGTGGAGTCTGGGCGTGATCGTTTTCATGCTGCTTCCTGCATGCAACAGACTCGAACATGTTTGGTGTTTTTTTTGCTGTGGTCATGTTTGCTCACTGGTCAGAACATGTCGGAACTGCTGAGGCTTGTTGGCTACCCACCTTTTCATGGTAGCGAGAAGGACATGCGCACAAACATATTGGCTGCAAGTGTCGATTGGAGCCATAAGAGCAGATGGCGCAAAGTGTCCGAGGACGCGGTTGATTTTGTCAAATGTCTCTTAGTAAAGGACCCAGTTCAGAGAATGGATGTGGGACAGGCTCTCGAGCACAAGTGGCTGAAGCCTAGAAATCTCAAGGAACCACATCCGGTCCTGGACCGGGACTCCCTCAGAGCGCTTCGGCGCTATGCAGACACCTCCAGGGTCCGTCGTGCAGTTCTGCAACTTCTGGCACAAGAACTCGCCCCGGATGAAACAAAGGATCTCCGGGACGTATTCCTAAGCCTAGACAAAACAGGAGAAGGCACGATCTCTCTTGGTGAACTAAAGCACGCGATCCGTGGAGAGGCTGTTCCCGAGCTGCCCGAAGCCACGCCCGAAGCTCCTGGAAGTTCATCTCCTAAGTCTCCCAAAACCCCAGCGGCTCGACTCCGACGGGCGAAGTCAGAAGTGATAGGGAGCCTCTTTGAAGTTCTCGATGCCAATGGTGACGAGCAGGTGTACTACTCAGATTTCCTTGCGGCAACCATGGATGTGCGGAAGCAGCTGCGGCAGGAGGCCGTGTTGTCGGCTTTCAACCGTCTTGATGCAGATGGTTCTGGGACGATCAGTCCAGATGATTTGCGGAAAGTCATCGGTGAAACTTTTGAGGGTGTCAATGTGGAGCTTCTTGTTCGTGAAGCTGATGCAGCCTGCCGCGGTGAGCTGACTTTTCAGGACTTTTTGAGTTTGCTTGAAGCAACTGATGCCTCAGTGTCACCGACTGGACGGCAGCGGGCCGGCATTCAGCCATCCTTCTACTTACAGCCTCATGTGGTGCCATGAGGGTCGGGGCGCGAGATGCGCCTTGAGTTCACGGCACGTTTTCACTTTGAATTCGCCCTAATGGGCTGGATTGAAAACTGCTAGGCAGTGTGCGACTTAGCACCTGCCGAGTCGAGTGAGAAGAAGCGGCCGCGCGTAAACGGATGCGCAGAATTTCCACCGAACTTCGTCGATGTGCGCCGTATTGCGTGATGAGTTCGTCCCGCCCTTATGCAGTATTAGTAACATTAGGCCAAGTCTGGAGCCAAGAGTTGGGAGAGCTCGAGCCAGGCAAGTCCAACTTTCTGACAGTCAAGAAAACGGCACGGGAAGAGACCTCCCAGGACTTCCTCAGCTGCGTCAGCTGCGTCTTCTGATTCTGCTTCCTGATATCCCTGTTGCATGTCTTTTCGTGTCTGCCAGCTCGCTGCTAGGACCTTGCTTTCTGTTCAGTGAAAACAGGATCAAACCACCCAGTGCGTGCTGTGCGCAGGAAGTGTCTCTGGAAGAAGGTCATAGCAAGAAGTCATCCGCTCGCCAAAGCATCCTAGCTCAGATTTTGCACCCTCAGGGCTGTGGCTTGATGGAAACCACCAACACATGCAGAGTGTGAACTTCAAGCTATCTGTATGCCAAGGCTTGACCAGCAACAAGGTTCCGACAACCTTTCCTGCTCCTTGCAACTGAACCGGTCTGAAGGAATATGTCGTGACATGCGCGTTTGCTTGGCATGGATCCTTCCAGCTGCGATCCTATTAGCCAGATGCTTCCAGACATGCAATATGAAAGCAGAGCAACGGCAAGCTTGTGTAATCGAGCCCAGGAGATGTTCAAGTTCAACGCGTCTGTCATGGGGTACAAACAACATGAGTGGATGGGAGAGGTCTTGCAGGTGTTTGATAACATGGTGCTGAACTGCGGAGACTTTTGCCTGCAAGTGGCCAGCATTGCATGTCAGAGCGAGCCGCGGCCCGGGTCAGTTCCTTCTCGCCGGATCATGCTGAAGCCAAAGCAAAGGTTCCATCACGCCTGCTGGAAGAAGCCGACATCCTTTCGCTATCTCTGGCTAAACTACATGGTAAAATCGATCTGCTCGAGTTCAAGGCGGTTCCCAAGATGCTCCACAAAGTATGTCTTTTGAAGAGTGGGTGGGAAACGGATGTCATAAAGACGGTGACGCCACCTAAAAGGTGCCGTGCGCTTAGGCACATGTTACATGTCCTGGTGACATTCGGGGTGGTGGTGGTGGTGGTGGTGGTTCGTCGTGGTTGTGGTTGTTGTTGGTTGTTGTTGTTGCACCCTGACAGCTAAACTAAGGGTTGCCCGAGGGCTCGTCTTCACCCATTAGAGATTTTGCATGTCCCATGCGCACAAAGCGATGTACCGACCTGCAGAGACTGATGTGATTTGCAGCAGGTGGCACAGACCCATGGTGGTACTTGTGCCAACGAAGCTACCCACCAAGGGGGAAGCGGAGGCCGATCATCTCCGTGTACATGCGTACTGGCCTATTGCTTGTTAGTATCTTGTTAGTATACCGATCATCACCGCGCATTGTTTGTAACATCGTTCTTCGCAATGTTGTTTTGCTTTCTACGAGTATTGTGCATACGTCGGCGTTTGGCGGGCACAAAATTGGCCTGCAATGAAAGTTGGTTTCTGGATGAAGCGCGAGCTTCATTGGCGCTCGCGATCACGGCCTTCTCGGCTTGCGCTTGCGCTGCAAGGCTTCCCTTGCCTGCAATCTGGGGGTGCTCTCACGAAACATATGAAAAGCTGGATTGACGCAGTGGATGTAGCTCTCTTAGTCTAACGGAGTCACGAAGCAACTACCCATAATGGCCCAGCAGCATGCACAGTTTGACGCTTGGCACTTTGTTCAAACCGGAGCTGGAGGGCAACCAGAGCTCAGAGGGCAGCCGACTGCCCATTGCTTGTGGAGGGTATCAGCTTTCACATTCTTCTCATGTCCAACGAATTACAAACAGCTTTCACATGCTTCCCAGGTCTGACGAAGTTGATTGGATGCAGCTTTCACATGCTTCTCAGGTTTGACGAAGTTGGTTGCATGCAGTTTTTACATGTTTCGCAGGTTTGGCGAGGTTTACTGGGTGCATTTTTGACGTGTCTCTCATGTCTGGCGAAGTTGATTGGATGCAGCGTTTCATATGTTTTGTAATGTTTTGTAGGTCTGACGAACGTGACTGGGTGTAGCTTTTTTCATATGTTTCGTAGATCTGACGAAGTTGATTGGATGCAGCTTTCAGATGTATCTCATGTTCGACGAGGCCGGTTGTTTTGCAGCTTTCACATGTTTTTCATGTTTAAACGGAGCTCGGAAGGCGCCCGACTGCGCAGTACCTGTAAAGACGTTTGCCAGCTTGTTCAACCAGAAACCGGAAGGCATTGAGTTGCTCAGCATCTACAGAGTTTGGAGTTTGGCGCATCGTAAAGCTACCCAGCGGCCTGCACATTTTCATGCTTGATTGCTTGTCCATGTTAGCGTTCGGCAGCTTTCCTTTGACGTTTGGTGGCTTGTTCAACCACAGTTTGCAGGGCAGCAAATGGCAGCAAACTGCCCAGCAGCTTGCAGAATTTGATGCGTTGATGGCTTGTTCAGTTTTGAACTTAGAGGGTATCCAGCTACTCAGCAGGAGGCAAAGTGTCATGTCTTATGCATTGGATACAGCTTTCACATGTGTTTTATGTTTGGCGAAGTTGATTGAATGCAGCTTTCACGTGTTTTCATGTCCGATGAAGTTGGTTGGATGCATCTCTTACATGTTTCTCATGTCTAACGAAGTTGATTGTGTGCAGCTTTCACATATTTGTCAGGTCTGACGAAGTTGGCTGGATGCAGTTTGACGGTGTTTCTCATGTCTGACGAAGTTCATTGGATGCAGCTTTCACATGTTTCTCGGGTTTGACGAATTGGACGCAGCTTTTTGCGTGTTTCGTAGGTCTGACGAATTTGATTGGATGCGGCTTTCACATGTTTCTCGTGTCTGAGGCTTTTCTTCTCTTTGGCACTGCTGTCGATTCATGGTCGTCCTGTTCGAAGAAGTCTTTAACCTCGTACAGGTGACTAGAGAGAGGTCACGATCATGTGACACCACTCATTCTTTGTCTCTTGGTGGTGCTAACTACCACTTGTGTTGATTGACTTCCTTTTGTATTGCGTGGCCAAAAGGACAATAATTTTAGCGTTAGTCACATGATTGGAACATTAGAATGAAACGTGCTTCCTTACTGTGCGTATCGCTCTGAACCCAGCATTGCATTGGCAGCGGCTCCGGCCTTTGAATGTTGCATGCATGTCTCATGCATGGTCACATTCATATCTACTGGCTCGGTTGAACTTTCTTGGTGAAGTATTTGTAGCGTTTTTCGCAAGTTGAATCGAATGACCGCCTACGCTTTTTTGGCAACAAACCTGAATCTGGAGATCGCCTGGTACATTCAAATTTTTGCAACAGGACAGCGATGTACCTTGCTTATGTTTAGTCACCACATTGACAGGGTAGACATGTTTTTCGTATTTGTCTTTTGTCACCACATTTGGCTTTTGTCACCACATTAGATACCAACGCACCTCTTCAATTTGTAGCAGCGTGATTGTTGATTCAGGACGAAACAGAGATGCTCGCCCCACTGTGGGTTTTTGTTGTTGTTACAGCTAAACTATGGGTTGCCCGAGGGCTCGTCTTCGCACATGACCAATAGATTATACATTGTTACATTGCAGGTCCCATCGCAGAAAGTGATATACCGACCAGCAAGGACTTTGATTGCAGAGACTGATGTGATTTTTCAGCAGGGGCCACAGGCCCATGGTGGTAAATGTGCCAACGAAGCTACCCACCATGCGGGAAGCGGAGACGGATCAGCTCCGTGTACCTGCATATTGGCACATTGCTTGTTAGATAGTGTGCCGATCATCGCCGTGCATTGTTTGTAACATCGTTCTCCGCAATGTTGCCATGCTTTCTACGAGTATTATGCATACTTTGCTGACTGTCGTGGTTCGGGGCTAAGCTACTCAGGAATTGGCGACCCTATGGGAGATAGTGGTTCTAGCGACACTTGCGAAAAAAGTGTTGTTGGTGGTGCTGGTTGTGTTGTTGGTGGTGTTGGTGTTGGTGGTGTTGGTGGTGTTGGTGTTGGTGGTGGTGTTGTTGATGATGTTGCCGCTGTTGCTGTTGCTGTTGCAGTGGTGGTGTTGTGGTGGTTGTTGTTGGCGTGGTGTTTTCATAGGGTGATTAATAGTACAGATCAAAATAAACAAAAATATTCATGAATGATAAAACTAACATTCACACTTGTGCGCACGTCCATCGCGCCTCTGCCGGCGGGGTTGATTCAGGTTATGCTTGCGTCTTTACGCTCGCTTCTGCCCAAGACCTGGAACTTAGCCGGCATTGCTGCTCAACCAGCCGTAGAGGCCACGAAGGGTTTTGCTGCAAGCCAAGGAATTCTGAATGTGAGGTCGCATGGACTTGGCTATGGGAAAACATTCAAAAGATGCTGAAGGCGAACATGGGCAAGCCTGCTGTTCAACAGAAAGCCTTGCGCAAGTTTTTCATGAACATCGAGGATCAGCAGTTGGCTGCTTACCGCACCGCGCTCTACACAGCATTCTTCGCAAAGTGTGCGCAGGGCCAGGACTATTTTAAGCAGTCCTCCACCCGGCTTCACTTCATAGCAGACCGAATGCTCATGTACACACAAGACGTCTTCAAAGATCCGAAGGGTGTCATGGAAAGCCTTTCAGCTCTTGGGCTGAGACACGTCGGATATGGCATTCCGACAGAGCTTTTCGGTCCGTTTGTCAGCTCCGCAATTGAATGTTTCCGTGGCATGACAAAGGACGAACAGCAAGAGGAAGCCTTTCGATGGTCCTTGAATTTGATTTCGCGCGTCCTTGTTCGCACAATCACTGAAGGCTCCACTTTGGTGATGCGAGCCATCAATGCCAACTGTGCCAAGATGCTGCGAAAGGCAGTGAGCTGCGCTCCCCGAGGCTTGCGTGCAGAGTGGATGCTTAGGGTTCAGGTGGGCACCCAATCCATCTCTCCGCTTCTCTGGTCCATCGAAAGTGGAAGCTTGGAGGCTGCCCAGGCCATTCTCCTGGATCTCCTCACGATCCGTGCAGATCGGGACCATTATTACTATGCCATGGATGCACTTTTCAACAGACATCCGGACATCATCCAGAGAATCGGAGAAGATGGCCCTGAGCTCCTACCCACCTTGCTGGATGGCTTAATCTGGCGGTCCCGGAACACGAGTGATGGCACACGCCGGGTGAATTACTTCATCAAGTATCTCGTGGTGGATCCCAAGGATGGTTTCTCGCAGTCCTTCCGGGACGTTGTGGCCCATGGCGACCCCACCATAGCATGCCATCCAGCGGTGGTCCTTGCAGCAGATATCTTGTGGTCACATGTGGTGGCTTACACATTTCTCATGAGCAAGCTTTGGTTTCTTCTGAATTTGGTGGTGTTTGTGGTGACGATGGCCATAATCACTGATTATTCAGAATCCGCATCTTCTGTGTCCTTATTGGGCATGTTTATCGGGCGGCTGTTCATTTATGTGTTTGGTTTCGGGCAGCTCGTCCTTCGGCATTTAGTGCGGATAGTGCGTGCCTGCCGAAAGAGGGAGGTGAGACGAGTTTGTTGCTTGCCCATCCCCAGTTACTTGATCCACTTCTCGGAGAGTCTGAGTGGAATGCTGTGCATCTCACTTGGAGGCATGCTTTGCCAAGAACCTGTGCTGCACTGCCTTGGCAAGCGAGCACTCAGCGACGTGCAATTTGCGCAGTTCGGTGGCCAGTGTGCAGAAGCTGCAGCTTTGGTCCCAAGCTATTCCAGCTTCGCATTTGTGGCAACCTTGCTGTACTTTTTGCTGCTTTTGGATCTGACGGTCTTTTCTACCAAGCTTTCCACATTTGTCCTGGTATGTGGTCGCATGGTGCAAGAAATCGCCCAATATCTTTTTGCGCTTTCATTCGTGGTCCTCACCTTTGCATGTGGTTTGGCATCCTCCGATGTGGCCAACGAGCACTTCTCAGAAGTTCTTCCGGCCATGCTCAGTCTGTCGCGAATCATGCTTGGCATGTTCAGCAGTGAGGAGTTCCAACATTTAGAGGAAGAGCCCAAGCTGCTGCTCTCTGTGAGTGTCTTTGTTATTTGCACAACCATCTTCCTGTTGAACCTGCTTATTGCTCAGCTTAACTGTGCCTACTTTGGCATCTTCAAAGATATGCTGGGCTTTGCAAGGCTCAACAGGGGATCTGTAATCTTGGACAACATTCCACATGTCTCGCCAAAGCGATGGAAGACATTCGTGGATTCACTGAAGATGGATGAGACTCTTGACTTAAGGAAGCGGGCATCCGCATGCCCAGCCTCAGAGTCGTTCTGCTGCCCCACTGATTTCCTTGCACGAAGGCTTAGTTTTCAAGATCCTTACAAGATCAAAAGATTTTACAAACGATGCTGCTAGTTGTGGCCACAAGGCTCTGGTTTGCTGACCGGGAAGCATGAATGAGTTGGTCGTAGGCTTCACCACCATGTATGCACTGAGGAAGCTTGAGTTTAGCGAGGGCGACATCGGCATCGCCGGCGGGCTGCAGGTCCTTGAGCCTGCCAGTGCCAACCCGGTCACGACGGACTCCATCAAACGACGCCATGCAAAACACGCGGGCATGCCTAGGACTAGAAATCAGATTACGATGTCCGCAGGACTGGAAACCGATAGAGACTCCGTTGATGGCCTTTCATTTGCAATGCGAAGCAAGTCCTAGACGCAAGTGCCGATGCTTCTCTGTTCCCTAGCGCTTCCAGACAGGAAACCCAAACGAGGCGGCCAAAGCCAGTAGGTGAATTAATTGCAGCGCGGGGCAAGAGAGTTGGCCAATCTAGCCCGGAAGAAGTTTTTTTTTTTTTTCCGAGGATACGGTGGATCCACGTCTCGGGAGTGCCAGTGGCCGGAGACAGCCACCGATCTGGACTCTGAAGACAAGATTGATAGACTCGAAAGGGTCATCGATAAGGCGGTGAAGAAGATCATCAAAGGGACGAAAGCCAAGGTGCCAAAAAACATGATGCGAACGTTTAATTGCTTTTGTGCCATGTACGCAGAATGTTTGTGCATTTCGCACTTGTAGTAATTCGACGCACACCAGCCTCTTGGACACAGGGGTCCACGATGGGATCTTCGTCCAGCTCCGGAATGACATCATCGTCGATGGGCGATTCTTCACACGAGAACTAAGACTCCAGGTTGCAATGCTGATCGGGGCAGCATTCTCTAGTGCAGTTCCCCCTGCTCTCGCGGTTGCTCGCTCTTTGACTTTGCGTGTACAACTACTGTTCGTACTCGGGCTAAGTCGGCCCACTTTGTGTAAACTCGGATTGCGAACATGAGCAGGCCGCACTCCTTAAAACACAGCGTGCAAACGTTTCCCTAAGCACAGCGTGCACTTGTAGATGCTTGCACTTTCTTCTTGTGTCAATGCACATGTGCTTTAGTTCATGCGAAGTGTCTTGCGCCTGCGCCCTGTGCAGACGCTGCATGTCGGGCTGTGTCCATGCAAATCCAGCGTGTACATGCGTTTTCGGATTGCGTGAGTCGACTTCACGCAAGTGGGTCAACTTCACACGAATCTGGGCGCGACTCTGGGGAGAGTTGAGTTCATACTCTGTGTGTGTGTGTGTGTTCTGTGTATGCGCATGCATATGTAGCAGAGCTATGTAGATGGATATGGATATGTGTCTGCGACCCTGTTTGTAGGCATGCATGCATGCATGTCAATTTTTCTCGACATTTTTGACTACGAGCTTGCTATGCCGAATTGCTAAGGCCCCTTTTCCATGTTTGTGCGAGCAGACCCTGCATCGTAGGTTCGTCCGAGCCGGGCGGGAGGCAACAAACGTTTGCGCGAACGTTTTCCGGCTGAACCCTGTGCTGAGGCTGCCTGCCTGTGAACATGCCTCAAGGCATCGGCGTACAATCTGCTGCAGATGAGAAGATTTTGCGGTCAGCTTGTCCCCGTTCCGACTGCTGACTTTAAGATGTTTCGTGATTTCAATTGTCGCGGGCCAAGCGTGCGCTCGGGATTGGTCTTGCTCACACGAGATTTCGTGTGGTTCCGGTATGTACTGATCAGCTGTGGCACCAGAGTGAGTCAGAGCCCGCTTGGGAGACACTATTTTTTGAATCCATACTTGGGCATTCCTCCTTGGCAACTAAACGTATCGTGTGTAGACATACGAACATCTGAAAGCAGGAGGTCCTCAAGAAACTTACCGTAGCAGGAACTCGTGCTTGTCCGGGCTGAAAGAGCACGGAAGAACCACCTACCTAGGCAGCAAGCTGTGCTGCTTTGATGGGACTCTGCAGATGTTGCAAACTGGAGCATGGAACAACGGTGCAGCAGCCGCGGGTTGGTGGTCGGCACAGAGGTGCTGCACCTCTAAAGTTTGAAGCACTGAGCTGAAGAAGGCTCGACAGTGTATCTTGGCAGGTACCCTCCACTAAAGTGAGGCACCAGCATGTGGCGTGTGGCCCGCCCCGGATGCTGAGGTGTGCATGTGGCACCTGTAAAGCAGGTCCAAAGGCAACCCTCAACTTTCTGCAACTCCCCAAGAGAGCGCGCAGAAGTGGTACAGCATTACCCCGATAACGAAATCAGAAGCACTGCGACCAGTCCAACGGGTTGCTTTAATCGAGGAGAATGTTCGAGTGCCACTTACTGCATTGAGCGTCGATGCGACCAAGGCAGGGAACTAGCAGACTGGGTGTGCCCCAGTCGTACGAGGTGTTGGAGGCGCCTGACTGAACAGTAACTTTATCTTGGTAGGTCGCGCTTTCGCATGTCCAGTCTCCACCGAAACGTTTCGTGTGACTGCAGGATCGGAGTCAGTTGTGGCCGGGCCCCCGTCATCCGAACCGCTCGCTGAGCTTGAGCGGTAAATATTCGGCCAAGCTAGAGCTCGTGGAGGTGCAAGACTACATTGAGAGGACGAAGCCCCTCTTGGCGCAGGATCAGTGCTTTTGCTGCACCTATCGCATTCATGTCCAGGCGTGTACACGCCGCGCAAAAACGAGGCATCAACAGAAACAAGGCCACTTTTGGCACCGGTGACATGAGCAGCGACCCCAAAGCTGTTGCAGATTGCAGATGGCCTGAGGAGGCAATCTCAAACACTCCCGAGAAGGAGTTATCTGTTTGCTGCTTGCTTAGGTCTAGATTTCCGAGACGTCAAGAAGCAGCCTGGAAAGCTGGTCTGGAGGCAGTCGCGGAGAACATGCATCTCCTTAACGACTGTGCTTGTATTCCAGGTCTGAGAGAAGCTGGAACAAGACGTTCACTTGGCGACTGCTGCTTAGAAGACGTCAGAGCAGAGCCAAGGCGTACAGGTGGTGTCGGAGTCCTGAGGTCAATTGCCCCCAGAGAGAGAGAGAGAGAGACCTAGTCTCTCCAGCCTGGTAGAGAGAGAGAGAGAGAGAGAGAGATGGAAGCAAACCACAACTGTTTTTCACAATCCCTTCAAGATCCACCAGAACTGTTTTCACAATCCCTTCAAAATATCATAACAACGGGGGGGGCCCATGCGGCATGCGGCGGGGGATCTCGACAATCCCCCCCATGATTTATGGGCTCCTAGAGCGGATCTCACCCAAAACAGCAGGCTGAGGTTGACATACATGGTATTGGCAAAACTTGTGGTCCCCCCCCAGCATATCCTGATACATGCACTGCGCTAAGGAATTAACACTGGTCAGGGTGCTCACACTCTCTCTCTTCTTCCACCACACAGACAGAGGAAAGGCCGTCCCACCCCCGGTCCCGCGCAAGCGCGGACTGGTCATCTCGCCCTCCCCAGCCTCCGTAGCTGCAGCTCACACTCTTGCTTGCTTGCTTGCTTGCTTGCTTGCTTGCTTGCTTGCTTGCTTGGAAGTAGAGACGCAAAGCGAGTCTGCTGGCTGGTGCTCATGTCGTACGCCCTTCAGCTCACAGCCTGGCACCTCATTTTCAACCCGTTTGCGGATCTTCTGGATGGGTTGGTGTCTCTGCTCCCAGCGATTCTATGTTGGCCTCCTGTCTTGTCCCGTTACAAGGGGCATTGCATCCGTTGCCGCATAGAAACCTTCTGGGTTGTTTGGCTTGTTTTGAATCTACACAGGGTACTGCCTGCTATATCTTACCAGGATCATCACTGGTACCGCCTCTTTGTGGAATTCTTTCCCTGTCGTGTTAGTGCGGCATGCTCTTCACTCTACAGCCCCGGTGCCTCTTGTCAAGGCTTAGTCGCGAGTTTTCACAACTCGAACGAAACTACGGCTTTCGAGGGAGGTACAGAGCAGATGCCAGGAGTCTGGCATACCATAGAGAGGAGAGTGGGGAAGTGACGGGAAGTGGCCCACGGACAGAATCGGCAGATCCTGGGACGGTCAGGAAAAGGCTAGACCAAGATGAAGGAAGGGCACAGAAGAAGGATATGAGCGACCAGCGGAAGACGGCCAAGAAATTCGCACGGAATGCAAGTGGTGCATCCAAGACCACACCAAGGTTTTGTAGTCCAAGACGCTGGCTGTTTATCTTACCAAGACATTTCGACCAGTTGCCTCTGGATGGGAGGATGAGAACCCTCGGCCTGAGAACTTCCCATCACCAGCCACAGTTAAAACTGGATAAATATTGTCGTATTGGGTTGAGGCTGGCTGTATTTTCCTTCTTAGTTCCGATGCTGGGCGACTCTGTATGACTGGTGCTGCTCCTGCTTGTGCATCTTTTGCGTCGCCTTCTTTCTGAAACAGACTTGTTCTGTTGCTTCTTCCTTTCCGATGCAGGAGCCGGTATGTGGCCGTTGAACTGCAGGGGCTAGTGCTCATTCAGGTACAGATTCCATGTTGGTGCTGTTTAAAAAGCAAATTTACGACTCGTTACAGCGTGGCCATAATGAGGTTTCTTTCCTTTGCAGTTTTCTTTTTTAACATGATCGCAACCACCACCTGCACATTCCAGTGTCTGTCTTGCAGCTGTGCTTGGCAAACAGTAGAGCTGCCGGCTTCGCACGAGACGTCCGATCATGAGGCTGGGCTGGTTGGTCCTCAATGTCCTGACCATCTTGACGAGATTGATCGTCAACCTTTGGTGGGAGAAATCGAGCGTGCAAAGTACTTTACCATGATCCCAATTCAGCGGGCAATGTGACCTTCCTGAACCGAGTTCATGCTCAAGTGGTTTATGTCTTTTTCCGTTTTCTTAGTGAATCCGGCAAGCGCAGGCCCGTTTGCCACACAGCATGAGCATGCAACTGGGCTCTCTGAAGCTAATGACAGCAGAAAGCAGCATCATGCGAGCAGGAGGTCCGCTCAAACTTATTGAGCCAGAAGAAATACCTCCGTATGTATGGCCTCTGGCCAGCAGCACTAGTGCTAAGCTGTGATTCTCAATAGGCTGGTAAGTTTCGGCTTGTCTTCCAGGTTGTCGTAGCCGGCACCGGAAAAGCTTTAAACATCATGTGGTTGGCCGTTGGCCACCATGGCCGTGCTGGCGTCGCTGCCAAAGCTCTCTCCGTCGGCCGCGCCAGCGCAAGGCATTGCCGAAGGTACGTACGATCGTTGATCGTTGACGGCGGCTGTGCCTGCAGGGCATGAGCGCGCACCCTCGTCATGGCACAGCGTGCAGCTGCCGGCTTAGAGCAGAGCGTGGAAATCTGTTAGCACAGCACATGGCAGCTTGCAGCGATATCTGGGCTCAAGCTGGTTAGGCCGTTTGTATGCCCTTCTCGCGTCATGTCGCGAGAAGAAGAATCCAGACGGGCAGAGTCGGAGCTGAATAAGCTGCGGAAGTTGCCCGAGAACAAGAAATGTGCCAACTGCTTTGCGCCCGGGGCTCCTGCATTGACTGCCGTTGTCGTTCCCTTCAAGATTTTCGTGTGCAGCAACTGCAAGTCTGCTCACCAGGCCTTCTCACATAGATGCAAGAGCACGCAGATGAGCCTGTGGACCATGGACGAGGTGCGTGCATTGGAAGAGAGAAACGGAGGAGGAAACAAGGTCGCACAGGATACTTTCTTAGCAGGTGTGCGAGATGATGACAGGCCTCGAGAGGGAGATTCTCTTGATAAGTGCAAGGAGTTTGTGAAGAGAGCCTACATAGACAAGATCTGGCTGCAAAGTGCCAGAGCAAGGGAGACTGAGCATGTGGCGAGAACAAGATCGACTGTGCCACCATCCCAATCGCATGATCGTGAGAAGCCGAGCAGTGCAAGGCCCACACCTGCGGTAAGTGTAGACCTCCTTTCAGACTTTGATGGGTCTACCGCGCCGATACCATCACCTTCGCTGCAAGGGGGCCAAGCACCCTTTCCAAAGCCATGTGGGGGATTTGACCCCAATGCCAATGCCACCCAGGTTCAGCCAAACAAGACTTCGGGTACAGATTTGCTGGGGTTTGACCCTTTCACTTTCACGGCGCAGCACAGCGAGCCCTCCGTGACTACAAGCTCTGCTGTGCCGGCGGCATGCGTTAGCAGTTCTAGCCAGGAGATTCCCTCTCCTGCCAGCCAAATGCCTTTCTCATCTGCGGGTGGACAGGGCGGCTGTGGCGGCGGGGTTTGCTGTGGGGGCTTTGGCGGCAGCAGCTGTGGCGGGGGCGGCGGTGGCACTGTTGGCTTTGGCGGCTGCATGGGGGGTTGTGGCGGCGGCTGTGGCTGCAGCGGTGGGTGTTGTGGTGGGGGATCAGGAGTGACCAACCCGCCCGGCAACATCATGCATGGGTTTCCCACTGGACCTCAGCAAGGCTTCGGGAACTCCAGTGGGTGCGGGGCTTGTGGTGGGTGTGGTGCTTGTGGAAGCGGCCTGGCTGGCTGCGGCAATGGATGTGGTGCCCTTGGTTGTGCAGGCTGTTCTGGTTGCACCTGCTTTTCCGGCCCCGGCTGTGGTTGCAACGGTGCCTCTGGCTGTTGTGGGCACGCCGGCTACACATCTGGGCCTTGCCCACCCTGTGGGACCTTCGGCGCAGGCTGCCCCCAAGCCAGTGGGCTGCTACCTTCCAACTGTGGATGCGGCTGCCATGTTCAAGGTTACAACGGCTACAACGGATGCATGTCTCAGAACCCAGGTGCCTGCTGCGGCTGCGGTTGCTGTGGCGTCGGCAGCTGTGGCTGTGGTGGCTTCACCCCGAACGTGCAAGGATGCAATGGGATGAACGGGTGTCCTGGCACAAAGCCACAGCCAACCCTAGCTGACCTCAAGGACAATTTGCAGAGGCTGTACGCGGCATGATGCAGCATCTGCAAGTCTGCAAGAAGTGAGTTGGACCATGGTTGGACAAAGAGGAACTGTTCAATTGTTGCATCCGGGCATCCAGGAACGGATGCAGAGCGCCTCGGTATGCCTCGGTTTTGACCCTGTCGGCGATTGTGGCAGGCATCGTCGTGCTTGAACATCCGTGCGTCTGTATACAAACGATAGGCTTGTCATAATATGCAGCGGTTTCACAATCCTTTTGCGAAAGCTCCCTAAGTGGAGGTCTTGTACACTTCTGTGGTCAGGCAAACCCGGGGGCCAGCTTCCGCAAGATTTACAGGTTTGGCATAAACAACTGACTGTGACCCATGTGCTGGAGGTTCTAATTCTTCCAGGCACTCCAAGCGAAACATCGCAGACCACAGATCCCCTAGTGACCTAGTGCAACTAAACAGGCATGTGCAGCTTTTGGGAACGGCTCTTTCTACGACATCGCCCCAGGCACCCAGTGTTCACACAAGGACATCGCAAAGTATTGCAACTTCACAGATTCAGGCGGTCCCCAAATGCTGTACCATGCCGAGAAACGGATAGAAAATGCTCGCACAAACATCTGCAAAGATGCCGAGCCTGCTGCACGCGGCTTGCTGGCATGCACTTTTTTCTCTGTCTGTCTCTGCGTGTGTAGGCACAGTTGTGCGTGCGGTGCCAATCTGACGAGCACTGGGACCCCACTAATGCAGCAGGTCAAGGCGCCTCGACCTGCTCGGGTGCAGAGCCAAGCTTGCAGTGCGTCTCCGATGGCTCCGAAATTCCGGGTCCTCGTATTAAAGCTCGACCTGCCCCTAATATCATAATATCATGATCCATAGAGTCACGTGACATGCGCTTCCTAGGAAGCATGTGCCGAGAGAGGGAGAGAGAGAGAGAGAGTGATGAAGTAGTATGTCTGTTTTGGGTACTCTGTCGGTCGGGGGATCTTGAACTGTACTCCTTTTCACGCCGAGCTGGGGGGATGCTAACACAGCTAACCTCAGATGACCTGGAACACGGCTGCGCGCATCGCGTGGGAGGGTGTTCCTATGGGGGCGCCTTCTCGAAGCCGCTAGCAGGCAAGCAAGCAAGAGAGAGAGTGAGAGCCTACATCACACCCCTGGCGAAAGAGAGAGAGAGAGAGAGACCCGCAACTCCTTTGCACAGCCGAGCCCCTCCAACAAAATGATGGAGGGGGTGCGCCATGTGCGCGGGGTGTGGGGCCTGCCCACACCTCAACCCCGAAGCAAAGCAAAGCAAAGCAAAGCAACGAGAGAGGGAAGTGTTCTGTCGGCGGAGCCTCAGCCTGATGCAGCTTGCTGTACAGCACAAACAGTCCTTGAGTATGAGTAGCAGAGTGCAGACTTTTGGCTTTCTCCTTATGGCTAGTGAGAACTTTCGTTTTCCTTAGTCCCTCCATGTAGTTGCGAGAGTCCGTACTTTTGGCCTGTCAGCTGCTGTTTGCTTGGGCCAATGACGAGGGAACAGCCGACTTTCAAGGCTGCCAGATCGCTGGCAGCCCCCCAGGAAGAACTTTCTTTTTAGAAACCAACGAGGAATAGCTTTGGAGCGAGGTCCGGGGAACCAACGTAGCCCCTGTACTGACTGCATGTTGACCCTAGTTGTCCTTTCCCCTCCACGTCCTCGGCCTCGCCCCGAATAACCTCGACAATGCCACCTACAGTCACAGTGAGTTGTCCTCAACGCAAACTAGCTTCCATGGTCGGCGCCTCAGTTGTAGTGCCTGTTTCTTGTCCTTCGTTGTCACAAGGGGACAACTCACCTCGGAAGCCGCTAAACCTACAGTCGAAGGTGGAAACCGGGGGAACCGAAACCCACCGCCGAGTAAGGGAACTGTGTTCATGTTACCACTGTGCCTTTTTGTGAGTTCAGCGACAACGCACTCGGCGGGGGGGAGAATGGTGTCCTGCATGCCTTTCTTCCGGGGGACTCCACTTCAGAACTTTCAAGCTTCTTGGGGTCGGGAAGTTGCCTCTTTCGTTTTCTAGTTCATAGTGTGCCTGGTACGTGGAGTCTAGCCCGGGGTACGTAGTCTGATGTAGCCTGGTATGTGTACTGCTGCTTCCCCCGAAAGCCCCACGAGCACCTGGGGGGCCCTATGGGCCGGGGAGCCTTACTCGCCCCTAAGACCCGGCGGAAGAAGGTGTTCTGTTTCAAATTAATCAAACACCCGATGCTCGAACAGCATTCTCACACCTCCGAAAGCCTCATAACATATGGGGGGCCAATAGGCCGGGGGGTCTGACACGCCCCTTATGCCCTGGGGAAGAAGAAGCAGAGAGAGAGAGAGAGAGAGAGAGAGACAGACCCGAAGAAGAAGAAAAGCTTCTGGGTTTCTCGGGTCCCTTATCGTGCTACGCAAGACAGTGCCCCCCCACACATGCAGCGACTCCACGGCGTAAAGCAGAGGTTCAGGGACAGGGGTGGGAAGGTTACAGGCAGTCTTGCGCCAGGCTTCAGTTCGGTGTCAGGCGGGCAGGCAGGTCAGGGGGTTAGGGGATTGCAGACATTTCAATGAAGGAGTGGCCTTCGGATGCAACGGGGCCGATCAACTAGTCTCCTGTGTTTTGCATTCATAGGACGGTGCACGCCACCGACCGTTGGAGGGCTCGCAGAAGACCCGGGTGATGCCTCAAGGTCACGACCAGTGGCTATATGGTTTTAGGAGGGGTGTTTTGGGGAGACCGGGGGTTTCAAGGCGCATCCGGAGGAATGCGAAACACCCTCGCCCCGAAAGAACCACGCAGACGCACAGACGCACGCCACAGGGGTTGGCCCTCGGGCCGGGGTTCCCCGGGAACCCAAACCCCAAGCAAGCAAGCAAGCAAGAGAGAGGGAGTTGCCATACGTCCCATGTTGTCCTGTCCCGGTCCGGCCCTCAGAGTGTTTGCGATAGAGTGCAAAGCAGTGTGATACAGTGTTGGTGTTTGTGCAAAGTCCTCGAGGGGGGATCGCCGAATGCGCGGGAAAGTGCCCCACACATTGTCGTGCCTGATCCACCCGCTCCCAGGATGCCACAGGGGGGAAGACAACTTACTTTACTTTCTGTGTTCGTTTCAGTACAGTCTGTGGCATCACACGGGGGGGAAACGGGGGATCTTGATGCTGTGCAGCCAGCTCCATGCAGAACAACTGTATGGAGAAGCGTTAGACACCCCAAGACTTGCGATTGCGCGCACGCGCGCGAGCTTCAGGGTCGGCCCGCCCTGGGGCTCCCACCTCGTCGACAGAGAGAGAGAGAGAGAGAGAGAGAGAGAGAGAGAACGAGCGTAGCCACGTACTACACCTGTGCTTGGGGGCCTGTTCCGCCCTCTTGTACGGGGGGGGAAGGCAGAGAGTTGACCCGGAGCTGTATATTCCGGGGGAGCTCTTCTGCTTTGCCCCTGTGGTGCTTGAGCTTCATATCCGCTGCCGTGTTGCTTAAGCAGCCCCGGTCCCTTTCGAGCCTCTCCTGATCCTGAACGAGGCCCCTCTCCGGAGGGTGGCACTCTAGGAGGGGGACGGAGCATACCTGATTGCGGAACCCAAAGTGATCTTCCACGACTACCTGGGCGAGACTGATGGCGAGTTCGAGCAGCCTCGGAAGAGGCCATGGGGGAGGGGCAACCAAGGGCTCCCAGCGCAAAACCTCCTAAGGTGAAAACGACCTGGGAGGAGCAGACCAAACTTGCAGACTGGGGGTGAGTTGCAAAGCCTGTTTGCAAGGACCCTGGTACCATAAGGGGGGAAGACCTGCTACAAAGCTATGATAGCAGCCGGCACAGCCAGCAGCCCGGCCAGTGTCGGCCACAGCTACCTGCGCTACGTCCGAGCAGTTGGGGGAGACAGGGCAAACGGCGAACAAAAGCCGACCGCTCGCCGACTATGTGCGCTTCGAGACAAAGGAGGGGGTGGCGCCTTTGTACGAACCGCATCCACTGGACAAGTGGATCGACAAAGACTACAGGTGGGACAGCAAAAAGCAGCTATACATGGACCCCGTGACGGGGGGCACACTTACAGCTGAGGAAAGCGAGGACTACCAGAGGTATTTGCAGCGACAGAAAGAACCCCGACATACCGGGGGACAAGCTGATGAGCTCATCAAGCTTGCAGCCAAGATTAGCCTGCGTACTTTGGCGGAGTCGCGGTTCTATATTGCCAAGTTTCCGTGGGAGGTCTGCAGACTCCTCGCAGAAGGCAAGCAGGTATACAAGAAGATGGGGGAGCAGCGCGAGCCGCGCAAGAACCCGAAGCCTGTCAAGGACAAGAAGCACAAGAAGCACAAGAAAAAGACCAAGGAGGGGAAGACAGCAAAGGAAAAAGAAAACAAGCGGCAGACCAAGACCGAGAAGGACGACACCTCGGAGGGGAAAACCGCAACCCAAGCCGACCTACCACAAGTGGAAAAGTCAGCGGGGGACCCAGACCAGAAAGTAGACTGGGGGCAGTGACAGTGACAGCGACACTGCACAGCCAGCCACGACGAACTCCTCACAACACGTGGAGGGGAACCTTGCTGACGATGACTCCACGGCCCTCCCAGATGCAATGCCGCTTGAGACCAATTGGCCATGGGGGGAACGTGGCCAGCCCGAACTCCCCCGACGGGGGGAAAGGAACCTACAGCATGCCGTACAGCAGGTACAGCAACACATGAGGAACGCTCGCAGGAAGTGAAGCACGACAGTGAGAGGCATGCGGACAATTCGGGGGAGAGCGACCTGTGGGAAAGTTTTCTGTTGCATTCATGTCGTGCCGTTTGCTTATGATACGTCCCAGGTAACAGTCGTTGATACCCAGTGACCTTGCCTATCTGTAGCCGGGGGAGCCGCCCAGTACTCGTTTTGCACGCTTTGTGTTCGCTTGTTGTTTCAAACCGGGGGACCCCAGACATGCACCCTGTACCATATCATACTTTCAGTGTAGCAGTTTCGAACCGCAAGATGTAAACTCTTTAAACAGGACTGGGGGGAGGTCTTTGACGCCCTCGGCCCTTTCTCGGGTAAGCTCATTCCACTGGGCCCGCATTGGCCCGCAATCCCAGGTTCTTTTCAATGCACCTGCCTGAGGCGAACAATGACTTCGGGGGACATGAAGGCGCTAATTCGAGTCCATGCCAACAGTGTCCGTCGGGGAACTCCAGCATGTTTTTCCTTCAACCCTTGCGAGCCCACCTGAAGTGGGGGGGACGCCCCAGCTTACATTGCTTTCGGCCGGAGCCTTTCTTACTTGTTGTTTGTTTTTTGCGTCACCCTGCCTACGAAACTCTCTGAAGGAAACTTTTTCCTGCCTTTGTGTAGGGGCCACGCGTACCCACGAACCGCAGGGGCGCGTTCGCGTGCGGGGTGTGGGGCTGGACCGCCCTGCACCTCTTGCCTGGTAGAGAGAGAGAGAGAGAGAGAGAGAGAGAACGAGCGAGCCTCCGCCCCGAAAGGGGCCACTCAGACACACAGACGCTCGCCGCGAGGGGGTTGGCCTTCGGGGGGGTGCTTGCACCCAAACCCCAAGCAAGCAAGCAAGCCAGAACGAGCGAGAGGGAGCAGGGTGCATGCGTTCGCGAGGGGGGGTCCGCCTTCCCTTTGGCTGAGATGAAGAACGAGCGAGAGGGAGAGGGAGAGGGACCCATTGCCAGCCCAAATCGTGCTGGAAAGCCAGTGCGCTGTACAGACAAACCTTTGGTGTGCTGCCTTGCTTTTCTGTGTGCCGACGTCGTCGAGCGAAGACGGGTTGCTGCAGTTTGATGTTGGTTTGGATATCTCTCTGGATTCCCTCGTTTGCTTTCTTTCAACTTTGAAGATGGGATACTTGTATTTGTTCAATGATGTCAACTAACAAGATGTTGAAGTGTTTCCTGAGATATTCTAACGTCTGGAACTTCAGCCAGCAGCGCTGAACTTCAAAGCGTGGGCGGACTCCCGGCCGACAATCAGAGCATCGTCCCCGTTGTGCGGGAGAAGAGCAGAGAGTGGAGCAGATGGGCAGGCCTAGGCCTAGACGGTTCTTATGTCAAACAGGCAAGAAAACGAGTTGGGGCTTGCTCGCATGCGCACATCCATGGGACCATGAGATGCTTTCCTGCAGTGATCACCCAAGGCGTCAGATACGCTTGGATATTTTTCCCGTGCGGAAGAACCTGGCCGGGTGGCAGCGCACTCAAACAGAGATGTTCTGAGTGTAGCACGTCAAAACCTGAAGTATTAATTTCCAAATTGCACAACTGAAACAGGTGGCCAGCGGGACACAAGTGCGCACGGTTCCGACCAGAACTCAGACTCGGATCCCACGATGGACTGGATAGTCGGACCTGTGAGCCACAGTGAGGTTGGGTCGATGTGATTGCATTTGATTCATATATCATATGTCACCTTTGTGCCGCAGTCTATTGTGTCGTATGCGTTGTCGCAGTGGTGAATTCGGGTGCATTCGTAATGGTTGGTTTTCACGGATGTGAGACTTTGAGCTATAAGGGTTGAGCCGAGCAGACTCACGGCGGAGAACCCAGCGCAAAATCGTTGCGGTGCGGATCTATCACGCCTCACTCCAGTGCTGAAACGCTTTCGTCTGGATGTTTGTGCTGTTGATTCAGTTGATTCTTTTCGTTTTTGAGCTCGCCAGCGGCCACGAATTGGTATCGCCGAAAGTGTCCGAGCAGCGCCGAGGGCCGTACTTCGCACAGGAAAACCCTGTGCGTGATGGTAGTCATGCCAAGTTCGAAACGTGTCAACCGTAGTCATTTTAACGGTTTGGCCGGGCTAGTGTCGGAAGGTCCAGGTGGCATTCGTCATGCGTAAACATCAAGGTATGTTCATCGATGTTTGCTTGCACTGCCTCTAAACCCGAGCTTGCAGCATGGAGATATCTCGTGGGCAAAGGTCTGCTACATTTCCGACCATTGCAGCAGCAGCGGGGTTTCTCAGCGAGGAGACGGAAGGATTTCTATTTCTGCAGTTCAAGTTGTGTGAGTGTACACGTGCTTCCAGTTGCACCAGCAGAGACTCTTGCCCGGATGGTCGTTGGTTCAGCAGGAGTGTGCGTGTGTGCCTGTAGGACTGTAGGCCGGTAGGCCAGATGATCCTGTAGGAAAGCCATATCCGGGATTCCGAAAACTCGTTCGACAACCCAGAGCCTGGCTCAGATTTAGTTACCACCTTGCTGGCCAATCATGACTACTGGACAGCTCCGCCTGCTGAAAGTCCCAAGGCGCAGCTCAGAGCATAGCAAGAACGGGTTTCTAAATCGTCGGGCATGGAGATGTTTTGATCTTGCTGCAGGTGGCTATCTGAGCAGTGGCTGCAGTCAAAACCGCAGGACATTGTGGCCGATCTGGATCTTGATCCCGGTTCCGCACTTGAGTTTGAGCTGCACCCACACATTGCGGCGTAGTAGACCTTAGATCGAGGTGTTGCAAATCGCTGGTTTACATGTGAGACAAACATCAGACACGTGCCGAAGCAATGTAAACTCTGTAAACCCCGTTAAGGCGATACGCCGGCCGGCATGTGCAACCACGTGATTGCAGGAGGACTGCTCGCATGCAGTGTCGGTCTTGATGCTTTGGGAAGCTAAGGAGCAAGGAATCCTGAAATTGAACTCCGCGCGAGCTGGGTGTCCAACAAGTATGCGGGTGGAGCGTCGAGCTTCTCCTGAGCTTTTCAGCTTCTGGCAGCCCTTGGATGGCTCTGAGGTCCGATCGCAATGCTAGTAGTAGGACCGGGCAGGACAGCAAATCGTGTTGAAAACGCGTGGACAGGCGCCCATCGAGGGGATCGTTGAGTCTTTGACGCTGCAGCCAGACCTGAAAGACCGAAGCTACCGGAGCCTCCTTGATCAGCGCAAGGAAACAGAGACCGCGTCATCCAGCCGCCGCAGTCGGCACGAAGAGCGCCTCATCCAGGGCGGCGAAAGGCCAACGGTGGTGAGGGCGACAAAAACCACACACACGGAGAGCGGCTCTCCTGGAGCTGCTCTTTCAGATGTTCTGGCAGCTGTGGAGACGGCCTTGCAAACCGCTGGCACCAAGGGGCTCACTGGTTTGGAGCTCTTCGAAAGATTGCCGTCCAGTGGATGCACACTGGCGCAGCTTCGGGATTCGCTCCTTGCCCTTGCCATCCCAATTCAAGCAGAGGATGGCGGTCGCCGCTACGCCACTCGGACTGCCAGGTGGTCCAGCCCGTGATGCCGTCCACGGTGACTTCAGACAGTCTTTAGGCAACCCTTTTCCGGTCTTTTGGCTTGGTAAGGTAGCTTTGTACTCAGGTTTATGCACCGTGCATGGGGCGTGGTCGCAACGGCCAGATGATGCGATGGTCCCAGGAGACCGGGACTGGAGATGAAGCTCGCATCACTACGGGGCATCTGCGAAAGCAGACGGGGCATCTGCGAAAGCGTGCTCGAACAGCAACTAGTTGAGTACCTGAGCATGTGGTTGGGACATGAAGCGTGCTGAAGTGGCAGCAGAAAAAGTCAGTATGCCCGCATTGTGTTTGGGTCCACGTGTCTTCATGGTGGCAAACGGGGCTTCCAGAGTGCCAAGCTGCGTTTGGGACCGTCGGCTGGGGGAGCTTTTGCTACTGAGGTCCAGGCACCTGGCAGCGTTGAGCAGATTCTGGCTGGGACTGAGTCAGGTGTTTGCCCTGCGGCTTGACATGGGATCACTGCCATCACATCTGAAGTATTTACGTACGTGCACTTCATCTGTTTGGCTTACTCAGCTAGTCATCCACTTGTCATGACACCAAGTCTTGAGGCATGCAATGTAACAGGGCTGTAGGCCGCAAGCAGCTTCAGTTTACATGGAATCGATTAATGCAATTCGGAATGCTTTAGCCGACGTGACCCAGAAATCTCGCCGCGCCTTGCAAGTCCGAGTTGTGAAAGCGTAAGAAGATCCGCATGGGCAGACGAAAGCGCCAAAAGACAGCTTCGACGGCATCGGCGTTCAGCAGTGAAGACGGAGTTACGGGGTTTCCACCAGCCTGTGAGCCAGCTGAAGCTTGGGCCGGATCCGTCTGCTTGGATGAAGTCCTTCTTAGGAACCCAGCATTCCTGTCAGGGTCAGGCTCCTCCTTGAAGGTAGCCCTGAAAGGCTTGGACAGCAGCTCTATGGGAAAGCTTACTTTCGCTTCCCGTGATCTTTACTTCGCTGTCCGAGAAGCGGCCGCTCTGCGAATCGGGCTCGGCCTCGGCCATGGCATCAACGCGGATTTGGCGTCGCGGCGCTTCGAAAATCCTCTTCTTGTCTTAAGCCACCTGGAGTCCATGGCGAACGCGCCTTTTTTATTTGCTTCTTTGCGCGGATTGCTTAGATGTCTCGTGGGGAGAGCTAGGGACGAATCAAGCGCGATCTTGCTTGAAGTTTCGCCAGGAAACGATCGCTTGTGTGAGTTACTTTGCGAGCTGGTGTTTGAGACGGACACGCAAAGTCAAGAAAGGCAAGGCCACTCAAATGATGCTGCGCAGATTCGTGCTTCCACGCTGGCACGCCTGGCGTCGCTGATGTACCAGTACAAGCCCCCGTCACCAGACGATAGCTTGAGGATTTTGGAGAGAATGCTGAGCCTAAGAACACATCCGCATACCAAAATTGATGCTGCCTATATCGCGGAGCAGGGGGGTGTGGCCGCGCAGCTGGCACACGGACTGCCCAACCTTCTGCCAACGACGCGTACATGTAAGAGTTTGGCTTCAAAGACCAAGAAGGTTTTCGTTGCTAAGCTGATATGCCAGTTGCTGGAGCGTCTCGTCTTCCCCGTGTCAGAAGCAAGAATCGTCTTGCAGTTTTCGCTCCCCGCCGAGAAGGCTGTCAGCCAGCAGCTCATGCAAGGACAAACCACGTCATTCATGCACAATGTCCATGTCTTGGAAAGCGAAGCATGGAACGCTGGCAAAGCCTTGGACGTGTTCGCCATCGAGGCGAAAAGATGTTACGTCCTGGTTCTGGAAGAGAATGCCGTTGCACAGTGAGGCAAAATGGCGTACCTTGGCTTAGGCTTCTCCAGGCTGCGAATGTGCGACTCTTGTCGCTTAGACGTGGAACTCGGTCTCGTGCATTTGGAGCGGAGCACAAAGGAAGAATTGGGGGCGCCTGCTGGCCGCTGGGCATCTTCAGGTGCGCAGGAAGATACTGTACGAAGACATCGACATCGACGGCCGCTGCAACTCCGTTACACCTGTCTGTGCGCGGGCAGTGTCAGTCAATCTGACCTGCCCAACAGCCTCAACAGCAATTATGAAGCAGTGCTGTACCGGGGGTGGGGAAGGCCCCGGCCGTGCATCCGACAGCAGAAATTACATGACATCAGAGTGACATCAACATCTTACTCTACCTCTGTGTGTGTGTGTGTGTGTTTGTGGGTGTGTGTCTCTCTCTCTCTCTCTGTGTGCGTGTGTTTGTTTGTGTTTGTGTGTGTGTGAAAGTGTTGTCGCCGAGCACAGTTCAAGGTTAGAATACTGCCGGGTGCATGGGTCTTACCACCAGCTCGGCAAGCACACGCGACAGTGAGCGCAATTGCGAGGGTCGCAGAAGTGACATCACTGGGACCGAGATCTCAGGTCTACTACGAGCAGCTTAGCATCACCGAGCCGGCCCAGCTCCCGGGTCGTTTTTAAAACGTGGGTGTTTGCATCGGTTTGCTTTTTGGACCACAGGTCGTGCTCGTGGGCGCAGGAAAGGAGCTGCCGACCATTTGGGGCGGGTCAGTGCCTTACTGCCGATGGTCTTTGCAGGGATGCGGAGGCCGGTGATGCACATCTGAGAAGGAAAGATGGGGTTGTTGTCTCCGGAGCTGGTGCATCGGCATGTGCACGAAGCCGAGTTCTGAACCGCTCTGGCCGAAACATGTCATCGAATCCTGTGGCACTCAAGGCTTTGAGACATCTGAGACTCTGCGCAGAGCAGCAGCTCCCAGACTCCCTGCTTCCAAGAGCACTGGGCAAGTGCAAAGCATGCGGTCTGGTGTTTCCGCTGAAAGGTCGAGCTGTCATGCGCTGACTGTCAGGCACTAAGCCGCTAAGCTTCAACAACAATCCCTTGGCTGGATAATGCACTTGCCTGGCACGCGGAAATCTCGCTCAGTCTTGCTCTTGACGGTGAGCTGTGCAAGCCCTACGTATTGATCTATCTAGTCTTCCCAGATCAAAGCACGCTTCTGCTGATCGCGGGTGGGTTGTCCTTTCGTTACTTGCCCTTGCCCAACATTTCGCCCGGCCTTTGCGATAAACACAGGATGTGGTTTCGGGATGCAGCTTCACTACTTGCAGCCCTCACTGCAGCTTCCTGCCCGAAATTGAAGCGCCTGAAGCTTTTGTGGCAAGTGGCATACCTGCCGAAAACGAGAGCAACGCTGGACATCAGGTCAGCAATTCCAGCCCCCTCATAGAAGGCTGTGAGATTGTGGAGCACTCAGAGAAGAACTGCCCTCTGCTTTAAAAATCTGGGTTGGGTGGTTTAGGCTTGTTTTGGAGCCTGCTACCAGCAGGAGATGCTAGGAGATGACCTCGCGCAGGTACAGAAGGTCAGTACACTCGCTGGATTAATTTGTGCTGCATGACCCAAGGTTGGGTCCTGTGGCGATCCCGCAAGGGGCGCTCCTGCAGGGCTGGAGGTGACACACAAATTATTCATGATCACTCTTGCTGGTTGTCGCCTGGCAAGGTTCGAGGCCAGTCATGTCCAGCTGTGTCCTTGGTTCTGCAAGCAACACGTTGCAGAGCCCGTTCTATCTTTGCCGGCTCTCGACCCATTGCGTCTAAGCTTAGCTGCAGTTCCAGGCCGTTGCAAAAATTTGGTTGATGACATGCACAAGAGAAAGCAGAGGTCATCCGTGAATGCCGTATCTTCGACCATGCAGGAGAAATTGGAAGAGTTCGAAGCACGAAGCTGTAGGAGGGGACTTTGGTCCTTTGCCCTTTGAGCCCAGGAGCGGGCATTGCTTTCCTGCAAGGCGCGTGCGGTTTGGTCTTGGACTCGGTTGCATTCCGGAGAGACGTTGCATGCCATGGGATCGCCGTGACTACGCCTGATCGAGATGCCTGTCGTCCGCGGTGGCTCCAGATCTAGATGTGTCGTGGAAATAGAGACCTGAGATTACAAACCTGCCGCTTCGCAGCAGACGATGTCAGACAACCCCCAGCTTCAGTGGCTAGGCGCCGATCTAGAATTTCCATCGAGGGAGAGCATTGAGGATGGCTCAGAGCCACATGCCGATGAGGCTTTCTATTAACTGTTGCACTGCAAGGCTTGTGTCTGTAGAACTGGCTAATGCCTCCAAGCGTGCCATGTTCGGTGCAGTGGGGGCCCGGTGCATCGCCGCCGTGCCTCGGAAGATCGACAAAGACGTGTTAAAGCAGATCTGCCGTTGAATCCTCATCCACCGGCGGAAGTTTTGGGGTTGTTGCCTTGGCCATCTCGGCCTTTCCGATTGAGGCCTGCTGTAGCCTGTTTGTGAAAAAGGTAGTATGCTTGCCATAAATGTGCCATACGGTTCAGTGCATTCTGGGCAGTTGTCTTCAGCATGGCGCACAAGTTGGGCCATTTGGGCCTGACCCTTTGGCAATTCAGTGCAGCGGGGCTCGGCGAGCATCTGACTTGGAAGGAACGGACCCTGTTTCGAAGCTGCGTAGGACGAGGAGCGAGTTCATATTCGGAGAGGCCGCCTGATGAGGCAACCACGGGTCCCGTTCGAGACGATGGGTCGACTGTAGGCACACTTCGAGATACATTTCACGACGACAATGAAGCCCAGAAAGAAGGTGCACGGGACTGTGACGGCAGAACCAACAACCAAAATTGCAAGAATTCGATCGGCATCTGGCCGATGACAGCTCAGCTGGTCAGAACGAATCTCATGATCTATTGGTGCTTTCGCCACATCTGACCACGCCATGAATCAATCTCCTTACAGTGTCCAATAATTGCCAAGTTGTCCTCTGCAACGAAGACGCAGATGTCATGAACAATCGCACGTGCGAGTTTGAGAGTAGAGTCCTGAAAGATGTGGTGAATGCATGTGAATTTAGAACACAAAACGCGTTGGTTGAAGATGCGAGTTGCCCTCGTTCCAGAAGCTACAAAGAGTCTGCACATCTTTCCTTGCGAAGCACAGCAACTTCCAGCTTCGCACGGGCTGAATATGATTGTCGCCGGGCTGTATGTATGTATGTATGTATGTATGTATGTACGTATGTAGCACTTGCCGCAGTTGGCATTCCGTCTGCTGTTAAGCTTCAGGTGCGCTGCGTCACGCTTTTCGTCGTGTCCCTGGCCAGCGCTGCTGGCCTGATGCTGTTGCAACCTCGACGGCTCTGCGTGCCGATACCCGCTGTGCTTGTCATCTCGTGCTGGCTCGCCAAGGCTGCTCTCATGGCAGGATGACGACAGCGACAGCCAAAGACAGTTCAGGCCAGGCACTGCGCTCATCACTCACCTAGCATGGACTGCAGATGTTGGCTTTGAAAGGACAGGTGCCACACAGCCGATGGCTGCGGCGGAGGCACGCAGACCGTCGGCACAGGCCTCCTGAGCTGCTGCAATTTTTCTCCGAGAGTGTCCAGCAAACCAAAAATAATTTGCAGGAAGCTGCAGCAGCTGAGGTGCGACGGGCTGGGGAGTAAGAGGACATCTACAGTACAATGGAGTGGAAATGCTAAGACCCCTAGACAGCGGCGATGGTTTCTGCTTCAGCTCCGCTTCGCAAGGAGCAGACCGAGTCTAAAACAGCATTTGCTAACGAAGTTCTGTGTCTCGAAAAGGCAAGTGGGAGCTATTCTCGACATGTTAGAGCTGGTGATGTTTGCCAGCTCGGATGATTCAGGCTTATGGTACTCCCTGCTTCATCTCCCCAAGTGTATTTCCTGAACCATGTCCTCCCCCTTGCGGTTGCTCCTATGACCCGGGCACAATCCGGATGGCTGGCACGTTTCAAGCGTCAGAGATTCTCACAGGCTCTGGCCCGGCACCTCCGCGGACCCCGGCCAGCACTCGATCCACTGACGCAGCCTCAGAGCTTCTCTTTTGCTGCGGCAGAATTTCGGCGGCCCCATGCTGGACTAGCTGGACCCTGGCCTCTCCCTGTCCCTGCCCTTCGCTTGTCGCAAGGCTTGACACCCCATTGTCAGCTGCATCCACGATTGTCAGTCGTCGGCTTAGCAGACTGGAGGTTGAAGTGTGGGTTCCTGTGGCCTTGTGCATATGTAGTGACAATGTAGTGTGCTGGAAGGCCCGAATTTGGTATCGAGCATGTGGTTGGGTGTTCTTTTTCGAATGCACTGGCAAACTGTGGGGTACTCGAGAAAAGCACGGACAAGTCACACATTTGCAGAGTTCACCGATGTTCGCCGTGATTGATTCGAGGTAGCATGGAGCAATTTCCCCTTTGAAGAACCTGTCCTTAGGCATGTCACTGTCACGACCGTTCCAGGAGCAATGTGTTTAAGGGCAGGATTCAAGTGAGATCATTGAGCGAAAAGCATGTGCAACATTATGCAACAAGTGGGGCCAGGCCAGAGAGTTGTGCCACACCGAGGCCCTGCTTTGTCGGACGCCAGCTGGGAGCTTCCAGAAGCAGGCAGTCGACATGCTGTTTCTGACATCGGAGGGCTTGTAGTAGCGCGCTCGCATGGGCCTCCGCTTTGACAGGTGTTGACACTGAGCCTGCATCAAGACCGCCGGACGAAGCAGATGAACGTGGGTAGAGTTGTAGATGCCGCCGTGGCTTGCATGCATCATGGGCAAGAAGTCCGTTTGAGAGGAATTCGGCCTTGACTCAGCCCCAAGGACCTGCTACATCTTGCAACTGTTGCGAATCAGCAGATTGTTTCAGTAGGCACTTGGGGCTAAGTGTTCCTTTGCGGGCTGCTTGAGGCCCTCCATGAGTCAGGAGCCACAGACTTGCACGGAACCTTGACTTGAAGGCCGACCCCCCAAATTGCGGGTCGACTGAGAGCAATTCTCGGCTTGTCGGCCTCATTATCCTCATTGTCCTAAATCCCGTCCTGGCTCCTGGTTCTCGGTGACCCACAAAGTCCCAAAGTCGGCACGGCCGCGCTACTTCGTGTGCTCCCGGCATCGGTTCTCAACATCATGATCTACCGCGCAGGACGTTGAAGGCAGATTCGGCAGAGTTCCCACACGGAAGTCGCACTCGTGCCGCCAAGACCCGCCAAGATTTCATTGGCCATGGTCGGACCTGTGCATAATTAGTAGTCTGCTGTCCGACGCAAGGCTTTAACCAGTGGACCACAGTCTCCGGTCCCATGTTCCTGGCGTACGGAGACGCCCCACGGTTTGGAACCTCAGTTTGACAAGGACAGCGGCAAGGTTGCACGGTTCAAAAAAAGTCACAAACTGCTTGCAAGCCCAAGCTCCGATCTAATCCGAGAATCATTCATTTTGAGGTTCCTAGTGTTGCACATAATCCGGATTTGTGTCGCGCTGTGAAAAACCTCCGGTTGGACGTCACGTGTTGTCGCTGTGCTGCGAGCCTATGGGCTGGTTTCGGCACCTACTGCGGTCCTGGCAAGTCGTGGTGCGTTATGGTGCATTCACCCTTTTCAATCCGTAGGTTGCAGCTTGCGATGTGACTCGCTGTGCGGCAACCTTAGTCGGTGCTTGCATAGGGCACATTCTGGAAGCCTGGATCGCGGCAAAATCCCTGTGGAGGCATGTGGTATTTGGCTGGAAGGCGCGGCTGCGAGCACGGACAAGAGAAGCGCATGTCTACTACTATCCTGGACTCAAGCTCACCTGCCTCTCCTTGCAAAGGCGAGGCGAATCCGATTATTTGGCGCAACACGCTGGCCGGACATCGAGGAGCAGGAGTGGTGGCCACAACCTCAGCACAGCTCGAAAGTTTGCAGCAGTGAATCTGCATTCCAGTTTGCATGGGCTCGAAGTGGAGGAGCAGGACAGCCGTTTGTGCCACTGATCCAATACCGCAACATCGTCGACATTTGTAGACTATCTATCATCCTTTCACGAAAGCTTGCTAGGATAGAGAGGTCATCCCTGCTCGGCGCTAGGCGGCTTGGAAGCGAGTATGTGACGTGGTGAAATGCACAGGGAGAACGATGCTGGCTTCAGTTCGCCTGCCTCCCACCTATGTGCCCCCGGGACAAGTCCGGCCAAAGGAGCCAGGCCTTTTCACCTTCCCGGTAACACGGGAGACGTGCACCTTGGTCAGCAGAGCTGCTTGATTGTTGCATTAGTCCTACTGGCGACTAGAGGACAGCTTCGAAAGCTGGTAAGGCATGCGCAGGGGAAGCGGGCCTCAGCACGAGCTACATGCTTGTGCCATGAACCAGGGTCAGAAATTACAGACAAAGTGGTTGCATGCAAGCCCGGACCGCAGAAGGTAATCCTGGTGTGCATTTTTTTGCACCTTCTAGGGTTTACCATGGGTGGCCCTATCCTTCCGTCCTTGCTGCATCACTTCGATCTACAAGCGGCATCAACTTGGAAGATCGTGGTTGCATTCCCATGTGGTATGTTCTTTGCAGTGCTTGTTTTTCCTTATCTGAGTGATCAGAGGGGCCGCCGACCTGTGCTGATGATCTCGTACTTTGGGGTTGGGGCTTTCTTCGTCCTCCAAGCTCTGTCTGTGTACCTCGAGAATCTGCCATTCTTCATTTTGATGCGCTTTTGCAGCGGTTCATTTGCTGGAGCGTCCACAGTGGTGAAGGCTTACATTGCGGACGAGGCCGACCCAAAGGATCTGCCGAAGTGGATGGCACACCGGGAAGCTGCGGCTACCTGTGCCTTCGTCGTGGGCCCCCTTCTGGGAGGTTACATCCTGGAGCTTGCGCCGCATGGGGGTTTGGAAGCCGTCCTTCTCCTCATTGGAACCTCCTCCTTTCTGGCAGCGCTCCTGGTGTTCCGGCTTCGGCCCAGGCCCAGCAGTCCTATCAGACCGCATCAGTCCAGTTCTCAAAGACAAGGAGTTGCGGACACAGCAAGTGCAGAGGGTTCGGCACCATGGGTTTCCATCTTCACCATCATTGGGGTGACTTGCACGTATAACTTCGGGCAATCCTTCTTTGATGGCTTCTTCCCCGTGCTTTTCTCGCAGAGGTTTAGCTCTGACGGTCGTCATTTGGGGCTGGTACAGACAAGTTTAGCGGCATTGGTTTTCGTCGTGACTTATTTTGCCTACACCCCGCTTGTTCGTCGCTTTCGGCTGGTTCATGTGGCAGTTGCGGGCCTCTTCATGATCGGACTTGGCGTGGCCCTGCTTGGGGTACAGCTGATGCCGCACGTCGTCGCCGCCGGGGACACTTGTCTTGTTAGACTCAGTGAGCTGACTTTAGCCACCGTCACCATAGTATCGCCATTGGTTTGGGAATAACTCAGGCCAGATGCAAGACACACAGAAACGAATCCGTCGCACATGAATCCGACTGTGAATGAAAGCACGAAGAGACAAGCGACAGAACGGACAGTGGATTTTACAGGCCTGCGCTCCGAGGTCCTCCTGTATGCTGTTGGTGTACCGCTGTACGCCCCGAGTGTTCCGACCATGATGGCCCGGTGTGCTCCGCGCCAGAAGCGGGGCTTGGTCATGGGAGCGGACAGGCTTTTGCAAGAAAGTTCAGTTAGTGGCTGGGTTGGCAGCAGTAGGCCAAGTGCACTTTGCACATCTGGTCCCTGGGTTTTGTGTGACCTTCGAAGGAGTCGGCAGTCAACAGCCTGGCACGTATTGCGTCGCCTGTGCTTTTGGGCCACCTCTACGAGGCAGGATCTGCGCCATGGAGAGACTCCTGTTCTCGTCACTTGCAGCTTAGGCAAGTCCTGAGCATGCTTTCCTTCTCGTCGGCATGGTCGTCATGGTGGGAGCATTGGCCATGGCTTCAAAGCTTCTGGCCCTTTGTAGCAGACTTTTCTTTCGGCAGAAGTCTTGAAAGCGAGTTTCGTTTGTCCGCACGTGCTAGGAGCAAACTGGGGGCTGTGCAAAAGCAGGTTGTCGGTTCACTGTGCAAGAAGGGAGGGAGAGCGAGCTTCTCGATCGTTGTGGGGCCTTTCGTAGGGACCCGGATGCTCTCTTGTCTCTGCATACAAACATTGGAGGGGGGTTTTTCACTCACGGCTTCAGTGCGAGCTGGACTCTTGCCCCCCTTGGAAGCGAGGAAGGAAGGCAGGCAGGCAAGCAGGAGGGAAGGCAAAAGGACGGAAGGCTGACTGGCTATTGCGGGTGCAGGTGTTCGCAAATCGAAACCTTGCTGCTTGCTTGGCCCATCTTGGCCCTCGGAGCATTTTGCACTCTCTTGGCTGTGGGGGAGAGGGAGCGAACGAGAGAGAGAGAGGCAGGGGGGGCAACCCCTCTGCCTCTAGCCCTGCCGAAAGAAAGAGGCCTCGAAACATCGGGTGGGCTTTAAGCCCAGGGGCATCGACCTGCCCCCATGCCCGGGAGAGAGAGAGAGAGAGAGAGAGAGAGAGACGAATAACCCTGCCGAAAGAAAGAGAGAGAGACGAAAGGGGGGAAACTCCCTTGCCCATAACCCTGCCGAAAGAAAGAGAGAGACGAAGCCGTCATAACCCTGCAGAAAGAAAGAAAGAGACGAAGCCGGCAGGCCCCCCTTCACCTTTGCGAAAGAGAGGGAGCGATAGAGATATGTACGCGGGACGGGGGGACCCTCCATTCCATGCTTGTGCACTTGTCCGGTGAGGGTACCGTGCCCTCTGCTCCAGACCTCTAGAAGGAAAGGCAAGGCTCCGCCGAAGAAAAGAGAGAGGCTGGCCTTCAGGCGTAGAAGTCCAGCGGTTTCTTGAGACATATGGCACGAAACCGTTTCAGTGCGCATCGCGATGCATCGCACACGTGCTGCTCTATCGCAAGAGCACCGAGGTGCTGACCCTCAGTTCGGGCACTTTTCGACTTGTAACTGTACCGCCAGCAGGGGCAGTTCATTCGGACGGGAGAGAGTTTTCAGTGTTTTCAGGGAGCATCTCACCTGGTGGCACGTTCTGCGTAGCTGGCTGGCTAAAGCGGCCAGGTGGCAGAGTCTTCCGGTTTTGAGCGTCCCTGTGCTGAAGACCTTCCTTGTAGGAGTGGTAACAGGGTGTTCAAGTGGATTGACGTGTGTGTGTGTGTGTGTGGGTGGGTGGGTGGGTGGGTGGGTGGGTGGGGGGCGGTGGGTGTCTGTGTGTCTGCGTGTTAAGTGTGTGTACATGTACCTGTGCGCCCTTGCGTTGCCGCACGTGTTCCGGAGCTCAGGTTTGGACGATCGTTTCTAAATGCTGATGCTGCAGTGGCTTTAAGATGCTGAGCTTGACATGCTACGGCGAAGTCTCAATCGCTCATGTACTTTCTTTCGGAAAGGGAAACTCTCGGCGGGGCCCTGTCTCACACAGCCCTAGTGCATTGCCAGGCATGTGTTAGTTGTGTTCATTTAGCGGTAGTGGTAGCGTCGCAGGAAGTGTGCATTGAGGCGAGGAATGATAAGAACCCGCACTAATGGATTTCGTCAAGTTGACACTCTTGATTTTCTTGCAAAGAAACGATGAGAGTTCAGGACAAGTGATGGCAATAATAAGCGTTAAGCAGGATTTTTCATGCTCCCTCAGCGGCTCCTCCCTGCTTCCCTGCTCAAGGCGGAAGCAGCGGGGAGAAGCTGCTGAGAATTCGACTCCTTTGTGAGGTCGGCAGATTTCGCAGCGATTTCAAGCAACTTGCTGCAGAAAAAACCTCCAGCTGTGGTTGTCAATGAGAGCTTTGTGTTGCTAAAGGGAGCTTTACAAGGCTTAAACCCAGAAAGCCTGGAGTAGAGCCTTGGACTTCTCTTGGATACTTGGTTCCTTGATCGATTCACTGCATGAAGATTTTGCCGGTCCAGGTTCGGGCCAGTGGTCGAGGCTGCATCACCGGCTGCGGTCTTGGCTGTGCACTGTTGAAGACGGAGGGATGTCATGCACGTTCGGAAAAGGCAACACCATTCTGCGCAACGGAGCTGGTGGACTGCTTGTAGAATCCTCACGGCGTGCTGTGACCACCATAGCTGGTCTCTCAGTCGAGGTGGCACATATGCTGAATGCGGCACCGCCCCATGAAACTAAGGTTCGAAATCGTGTATGGGCCAACAGCGGATGTGACCTGCGACAGTCTCCAACCTCGACCGGACCCATCCTCAGCCATCACGATTTCAAGTCGAGCTTGGTCCCAACCCGCAGCGGCAGCAGGAGGAATTATTAATTACATGTTGAGAGCACTGCTAGTAAGGGCAGGGCCAAGACATGATTGAAGTTGCCGCAGGCCTCCTGGCTGGAAAGGCAATGCCCCCTTCTGGCGTGAGTTCTCTCAGATAGAGATTCCAGCACTGGCACGACTGATGGAGACCGTAAAGCCACGGGCTGTGTTCTGCAGCAGACAGCGAAGTGTAGGCGGCTGCTGTCACTCTGGCCAACACCGTCGGGCAGCGACCTCAAAGAATCTGCAGCAAGCTGGACGGCATCAGCCCATGACTTCAACAGGCGCATGAGGTGTAGGTCAGATTGAGAGCGGAGGAAGCGGAGCCAGGCCCTCCTTCAGCGTGATAAGTCATGGCATGCTCAGTACTGTTTTTGATGAATGCCAACGTTGTGCCGCTTGTGCCTGAGTAAATCTAGGAGAAGCATCCCAGCCTTCAGTCGTAGGCCACATCTCGACTTACTCATCTCGACTATGTCCTTGGTGCTGACACTGTGCTGACTAGACATGGCCGAATGTCGGGGCGTGTCATCGGCATCGGAGAGCTCATTTGACTAGGCCATGGCCGAGACTCCAACAAGCAGCTCTAGTTCTGTTGTGCGAGAGTGAAACGGCTGAAGGGGCGATCGAGTATAAGTGAGACAGTACAGAGCATTGAGGCACCAGGACAGCCCATCTGCGAGTCATGGCACCGAGCTTACGGCGCCGAGCTCAGGCAGAACGTTGCAACAAGCCTTTTGGTTTGACGTGGCCGGTGCATGTCATTGACTCTGCTTCGAGGCGATCTGGCCACAGCGTGTGGTGACGAATTCGCCCGCGGCTCTTTCAGTCCGTTAGTTCAGCTTAAATTAAAACACCCGCGATCCATGGAATGCCTGGTTTCACAGAATGTCGCAGACTCTTGCCTGCCTTCATGTGCACGTTGTCTCAGTCCAAGACATGCTCTGTCGCGAGAACTGAGAATTGAATCTTCCTGCCCCCGTGGTCCGAGCGAACCGAGAGATGCACACAGTCACTAGCGTCACTGGAGTCACTTGTGTGTCGAGACTTTCCCGGTCCAACACTGCTGGAGATCAGATGTGAGCAAAGGCATGCATATGCATCCTCGTCGAATGTTCGCCTACTCAGGCGCGACCTGCGAGCAGCCGTGCGTGAAGCTCCATCAGACGGCTTTACGTTCCTCCAATTGCAGGGCAAAGTTGTGCTCGAGGAGCCCCGGGAAGCTGCTCAATTTTGTGCAGGAACACGACTGCCTGCCCGAAATATTGTTGAGTCCAGATGCTTCGAGCCAGCAGATGGTCAGCATGGCTGTCACGATTGTGAAGCTGAGCCGAGCTGCTTCGTGCCATGACTTGCACAGGAGCCCCTTCTGTTGGATAAGCCTGTCATACTTGCAGGCAGAGATTTGCTTCAAGTTGTGTGGCTCCTTGCGATGGGTAGCCGTGCCAGTCGGCGCGAGCGTGCCGTGGCAGGTGAGTCGTTAACGGGCGATTCCGGAAGCAACCTGGCTTGTTGCAGATGCTGCAGACATTTGCAGCCATTGTCGGCCCGCCTCTTCCACAGGTCGCCTGTGCCATCTTTTGAGGCATCGAATCACGAGGTGAACTGCACGGACCACCTGGTGGATCAGCGGTCGATCGCCCGTACTCCGCAGCAATCTTAGCATGTCATGTGGATCCGGCGGCTCGAGTAGGTCATCGTCGAAACTGCCGAGAGCTGCGCGCTAAGACCTTAGCAGCCTTAGCTGCTGACAGTCAAGCGCCTGCGTGAGTCAACTTATGATTGTACTTTCATGTCATGTTGCTTTCCAACCTGTGCTCTGACCCAATCTGGGTCCTTCAGGCTTTGGCGCTTAAATTTGATTCTTTCGAGCGGGCCCAAGAGGAATCAGTCTGAGGGCCTTGAGGGCCTTGAGAGTGCAAGAAGCCTGGCCAGGCCAACCACGCCAGCGTCTTGCGTGCAGGCGCGTGGGCGCGGCATGGCGCGGCGTGCGGCGCGCAGCAGCGACCGAGTTTCAGAGAATGCGCGCTTCCCGACTAGGTGGAGACAGGATGTCCAGTGCTGGTGGATTGTGCGTGCACCCCAGGCTGCAGCCGAATGGGCCAGAGTTGGGCACGATGTAGAAGCTCTTATCGAATTCCTCAGGACCTGCAGGTGCACGGTGTCCAGCTGGACGGATCTGCTAAATCCTCAGTGTCGCCAGAGGAAGCTATCTACATGTTACTGGACTTTTGTCGTTCTTCTTCGCTGAACTGCATGCAGCCAGGAGGACAGCAAGACAGGAAGGACTACATAACCAGAGACAGACCAAACGAAAACAGCATCAAAAAGCAGGACGAGAGAACAAACCAAGTAAATACGAAGATGAGAAAGAATGACGTAACGACACGTAAGCAAGAGATAAGGAGTAAGGAACGATAGAACAAAATCAAGACAGAAGCAGGCAAACAACGAACGAACGAAATGAATTTACGACCGTAGACAACAAGCAAACGCAGACATGGAGAAGAACCGCCCAAGCAGAGACACCGCAACACACACACACACACATACACACACACACACCCACCCACCCACCCACCCACCCACCCACACCCACACCCACACCCACGCGCACGCGCACGCGCACGCCCACGCGCACGCGCACGCGCACGCGCACGCGCACGCGCACGCGCACACGCACACGCACACGCACACACGCACACACGCACACACGCA